CTCTTCCTAGGGTCTTTCACTGGAGTCTTCCACTTCTGAGTGGAACCTTGGACTCAGTCTTCCTAGAGTCTTCCTTGAGTCTTAGTCTTTCATTGAGTCTGACTGAAGTTTTCCTGAGTCTTTCTAGGGACTATGGAGTCTTCCTGAGAGTTCCTAAGGAACTTTCAGATTTAATCAATAGCTGATGGATTTGACCGTGAGACGAGGGTCCGTCCATCCCAGCTGGAGTCACAGCGCCTCGCTGTGAACTCACCCGGGCGTAACGCCCTACAACTTCGAAGGAAGCTTGTTCTGTTGAACGGAGTAAAACCACATGACTTCTGACGATGACCAGCCACCCTGACCGGAGACGCTGTAAAGGTAGCGTGCATAGGGACATCTATACTGGAGCTGATCCATCATCTGCAAAGGTAAAGAGACATCACGAGTGTTGCGCACTAAGTGGACTGGGGGTTTGAGCTGGTGTTGAAAGAAGCGTGCTAATTCTGGTCAACAAACATACATCTCCCTTCATCCATCTTCTTTTAAACTTCTCCATTCCTTCCTTTAAACTTTTCTATTTTGCCAGTAATCTGAATGCCTTCAGAAATGTTCTATTGTCTTGTTAGTAAAGCGTGCCAAGTTTTTATTAATCAGAACCAGATCAGCAAATCAATGTGTACATGTTTTGATGTTAACTTTTGATTCTGTTAAATAAATGACCGCATTTATTCTGATGGGTCAAAGGAAAAATTACGTTTCATGTCACTGATTAAACAATCCTCACAGTTATCTCGGTTACATGGCATTAATTTAACTCGAAAAAGAAAGAATCCATTGTATTTAAATAATTAATATTCTTTGTGCTTGAACTAGCTTTAAGAATAATTAATTAATAGTGTCTCTACAGCAAAGCTGTCCCCACATTCACTACAACTCAGAGACATCAAGGCCGAGTGCTTCAGATTTTTTGCAAGGTATTCCAGGATGCAAGAGCGGAGTAAGAGAAGGCCCCTTTGCTTAGTTCAGTCTGAACTGAGGGAACACTGCATGTAATAACAGAGGGAATACTGCATGTAATATACTAGGAGCACCCTCTGAAGAAGGTTCATTTGAGCCTCATGTGTCCAGGGTCTCATTCTTTCTGTCATAATTCACACCTCAAGACCACAGGTGAAAGTTGAAACATAGACAAAGACTGTTTCTAGTTAAGAATCATGGCCTTGGACTTGCCATTGAAAACCACCTTTTCACGACTGCTTTGAAATCCTGTCCTTGAAGACCACAAATAGCATTACAGTGAAGGGACAGCCATAATGGAGTCCATCCTGCATCTACAATAGACTAGACTTTGAGTTACAAGAACCAAATATCCCTTAGAAGCAACCCCAACATCCCATAATCTTGTAGCACCCCCCACTGAATACTTCGAGGAACACAGTCATATGTCTTCTCCAGATCCACAAAACTCATGTAAACTACAGCAGTAAAAACTCCCATGACTCCCTTAGCAAATCTGCAGGAGTAAAAATCTGGTCCACTATTCCATGACGAAAACAAAAGCCACACAGCTTCTTCTGAATTCAAGCTTTAACTGTTGGCCAGCGTCTTCTTTTATTACCTTAAAGTAAACTTTCCAGAGGAGGTAAAGATGTGTGATCCCTCAAAAGTTGTAACACACTCTCCAGCCCACTTTTTAGGAAAATGGGAGCACCACCCTGGTCTGCCTCTGCCCATTAATTGCCCCAGTCCTCCATGCAACTTCGAAGAGATTTGTGAACCATGACAGCCCCACAAAGATTAAAGCCTTTATCACCACATGGTGAAGCTAGATCATCCCTGGTGCCCTGCCTCAGAGGCGCTTTTTGACTACCTCACTGACCTTTGCCATGGTAATGGTCTCATCGTTTCAGAGTCCTCAGACTCTGTCTCCTCAAAGGTGGACATCTGGCGCTTTGCCACTGTCTTAACTGCCATTGCTTCCACACCACACCAAACCACTTAAGGCAATGCCCACTGCCGGTAGTCACTCAGCCCAGTTTATGAGACCACCTTGTTCATGGTTCCAAGCTAACTCCTCCTATGTGATGATTTTGACATCAGCAGAAAGCAGCCGCTGATTGGCCAGCAGAGCTACATCACTGGATGACTCGCCCAGCAAAATTACAAACTACATCTGAACCACTGTTTCCTTTCTGATTGTATTGAGTGTGTGTTATTTTTGCAAGTTTCTGTTATGGACACTCCAAAAATAGTGTCATGGACCAATGATGAGGTGCAGACCTTCCTAACTTTATTGGCCGATGTTAGGATTCAGTGTGAGCTGGATGGCACCACAAGGAATGATCACGTTTACATAGAGATATCGGAGATGATGGTGCAGCATGGCTACACCCAGACTTATAAGCAGTGCCAGGATAAGCTAAAGAAATTCAAGTCTGATTACAGGGCGATTAAGGACCACAATGGGTGAAGTGGTTCGAACACAAAGGCCTGTAACAACACTGCCTACTTTACATTGACGATCCAGCTCACAAAGCAGAGAAACAAGTCACAGTGGCAAATCACCTGCAATTGAAAAGAACTGATAAGACAAGAGACAAGTGGAGTTGCACTTATCAATGGCAAAGATACTATGGTGGCCTGATTAAGGATATCCTTGCAGTGCTTCTTCCACCACTCAACAATATCCCCAGTTTAGGTCAACAGTTCTAAACCCAAACCACTCATGGCCTGGGACGGGACCTACATTCCTTTTCTGAGTTGCCCTTCATTTTGCCAGAATTTACTCAAAGCCAATCACAAGTCCTTCTAGCTGTCTAGATATAGACAAGTAGAAAACACAATTCTAAAGGAAATTATTGCCATTTTAAAACAATTCTAATATTTAAAATGTTATAAAAGCTCACACAAATGGAGACTGCTTTGGGGCAGCTGTTGCTGAGTGGTTAGAGCAGTCGTCCTCCAATGAAAAAGTTGGGGGTTCGAATCCACCAGCAGTCATGCACTGAAGTGCCTGGGCAAGACACTGAACCACTCATTGCCTCTGATTTTTGCCCCATCTATGTATGAATGTGATCTAAAACACTGACTAGTCTCTTTAGAATGATTTATTCAATTGGCTTTGTAGAGATCTAGTAGAGTGCTGAATGACTGTGTGTGTGGATGGGGAAAAGGGTGCACAGATTGTGTTGTAAGTGCTTTGCGTATCTTTGTTGGACAGAAAGTCTCTATATAAGTACATTCAATTTACCATTTATAAATTCAATTTTATAAAACTTGTGTGTTTGTTTCTCCTTCCTGTCCTCTCAAACCCAGCCAGTGAAGCAGATGGCCGCTTGTCCTGGGCCTGGTTCTGTTGGAGGTTTCTTCCTCATGAGGGAGTTTTTCTTTTCCACTGTTGCATCTGTGCTCGCATAGGATGGGAGACTGTGACGAAGTGAAAACTCTAAGTAATTTGCTGGCTTCTTTGATAAATATCATTATTAACTGATTTTTATGTACAAAGTATGTGAATGTTCCTGTAAAGTTCCCTGAGATGACTTCTGTTATGAATTGACAAATTTAGGAGTGAAAATGGACCCCTGCCTGAAACTTGACTGCCATGTCAACAGCATGGCTAGGTCCTCCTCTTTCTTTCAGCAGAGGCGCCTGTCAAAAATCAAGCCCCTCCTTTCTAGGCACCACTTAGAGACTGTAATCCACGCTTTTATTACTTCCCGCCTGGATTATTGTAACTCTCTGTTGATAGGACAAAAAAAGAAACTGTCCAGATGACCTGACTGAAAATTGTTGGATTGTATACCTGGATTATTGAGCATGGACTTTGTTAGTTTCTTTTGATAGGAATTAGCCAGGCCTCGCTCTCACGGTTACAGCTGGTACATAATGCTGCTGCATGATTTCTGACTGGTACAGGCAGGCGTGAGCACATCACTCCAGTTCTGATGTCCCTTCTCTGGCTTCCTGTCCAGTTTTGAATCCATTTTAAAGTTCTATTGTTTGTTATTAAGTCTTTGAACGGTCTTAGTCCCTCTTATTTGTCTGAACTGCTTCACTTTTACATACCATCACATGCTCTTAGATCCTCTGACCAGATGCTTTTAGCAGTCCCAAAAACCTTTTATAAATCCAGAGGAGACAGAGCATTTTCAGCTCTGGCTCCTAAATTGTGGAATGAGCTACCACTGAAAGTCAGGCAGGCCCCATCACTTTCTGTTTTTAAAACTCGTTTAAAAACACATTTTTTTCATTGGCTTTTAACCTAGAGTGAGTTAGCATCACTGTCTTAATGTTGTATTCTTTTACTTGTGATGTTCTTATTATTTATTTTTATATATTTAGTTGTTTTAATTTTTTACAGTTTTTTGTTTGTTTTTATTTTTGTACAGCATTTTGGACGACTGCTATGTTGTATTTTCAGTGCTTTAGAAATAAATTGGTATGGTATGGTTTGAACTGGAGCTATATAAATAAACTGATTTGAATTGAATTGAAAAGATAACATCTCCATCAGTTTTGAATTACATCTTTATTTTAACAAATATATTATGAAACTCGTAACAGAAGTGGTTCAAGGATGCACCAGGAGTGCAACAGTTAGCTGTTTCTGCTGCCATTTGAATTTGTAAAAAAAAAAAAGTAGAAATTCATGTAAATAACTAAGTAATACAAAACTGACTGAAATGTAACATTTTATAAAACAACATTTGCATGAACCACTATGACTTTTTAAATTTGGAGCTGTTCTAAGCTGGCAGTAATCTACTTTAGTCTTGCCATGTAGCTGTTAGCTCTTCAGTTCTGTCAGACAAATTATTTCTCCAAACAGAGGTTGTTCAAAGATCTACACGCTATAGATAAAACCCTACCTAAAAATGTCCAAACTATCCTTTCAAATCATTCAGCATGATTTAGAAACTAGTCAGTTTGAGGATTGCTGACTACTCTGATTTTTGCATCAGAGAATAACGTCAATTTTAGTATTTTATATTAGGATCTTTGAAAGTCCTAAAACTCACTTGTGTCCAATCTCGTGTGCAATGGTGAAAGCAGAGCCAAGGCCGATGTCTTCATTAATGCTGCAGCTTCTCTCTGGCTCACACATTCCAGCTACTGAGGCCAAGCCTAGAACACACACACACAAGCACACACACACACACACACGCCAGACAGATGCACAAACACAGGGTCAAGGCATAGCATTCTGAGGAGACATGGTCATAAAAACAAGGATTCCACAAACATGATGCTGTTTATTGCTATAGACACCAGTTTAGATTCAGCAGGGGGAATTGAGTTTAGCATCACAAACTTTTTTTTTGGTAAACTGTAGACACTCCTGGGAAATGTCTAGACAGAGGTTTGATTTAAACATTTCAAATGATGTAATGAGGGATCGCCTCAATGTGAGCCAAGAAAGGGAATATAAGAAGCCCTCACCAGTGCTGTGCCCCAGCAGAAACCTGTCAGAAAATATCTGTGTTTTTCTCATTTTGGAAGCTGAGTGGAGGAGGAGGAAGAGAAGTGGGTATTTAAAGTGAAAAACACTTCACAATCCAGGTGTTGCTGGTTCTTTTTCTTGAAGCCTGACAAGTCAGATAAGGAGACTGCTGGCAATTCTTCACAGATTAGATCTAGCAACCCAAAAAGGATTGTATAACAACACAAAGCAGGCGTGTGTGTGTGTGTGTGTGTGGGGGGGGGGGGGTATAAACGACTGTGTAAAGAGTAATTTTACTTGTTTAGAGACACTATAAAACATCCATTGTATGTTTACTATTTTAATATTGTACTATAGTAGTCCCTCGCTACTTCGTGGTTCATTTATCGAGGATTCGCTCTGTCGTGGTATTTCAAAATAAGACTGGAGATGACACTAAATTGGCTGATTGATGGATGAGCCGCACAAACGGCATGGAATTTTTATTAAAAAATTATTTTCAATTATTTTGCACCTCTGTGCAGCCCATACTGCAGGATAAACTTCCTGCTGCAGCTGATCAGCTGATCAGCTGCAGAGTGGAGAAGTGGGTGTGGCCGGGAGCACTGTGGCTGAGAGCAGCGGAGGCAGAGAGAGGGAACTCATGACATTATGTGCTCTTTTAGAACGTTTAGAGTTTAGAAACAATGTTTAGAATATTGCAAGAGTGTGGGAAGGGTTTTATATATATATATATATATATATATATATATATATATATATATA